TCTCATTTTTTTTGCCCAAGTGCAATACTTTACATTTCTCCCTGTTAAAGTTCATCTTGTTTGTTTTGGCCCAGTTCTCTACTCTGTCAAGGTCGTTTTGAAGTGTGATCCTGTCCTCTGGGGTGTTAGCCACCCCTCCCAGTTTGGTGTCATCTGACACCAAATCATCAATCCTAGGTTGCATTTAGACGTAGGACTTATTGTGTTAATTTTACAAATTACAGTGCTAGCGGTACTGCCCCACTTTCCAATGTTCCTTTCACACTGCAGTAGATTGTTGTGTTTTGGAATTGTGGCTTTTTGATCAATATACTGCCACGTTTTCTTTCATTTTTTAATTTTAGTTGGCAGGAAAATTGTATGCCAGTGTATGAGCCCAAATTTTATCAACACAAAACTCCTGTGATTTTCCAAGTTAACGAGGGTTACAACCCCCCCCCCCCAGGAAACAATGCAGAAAAGAGTAGTAAAGTGCTAGACTCAGAAGTGGCTCTTAGGTCCTGTGAAACATCACATGAAATGCAAAAACAAACAGGTAAGGAAACATCATGAAGATGGAATAAAGTTTCATCTAACCACAACCTTAGATAGGCTTCTTTCTTTCCATATTGCACCACTCAGAGCCACTTGGCCATATGTAAGAATGCTTGTGTACAAAATTGTAATGTAGGTCGTTCTGCAACATGCGCATGAACAGTGCCGGATTTACATATAAGCTAAACAAGCTATAGCTTAGGGCCCTACTCTCTTAGGGACACCCCAAAAAAATTAAAGGAAAAAACACCTGGATGTACATTTCCAAAATTTTAAGTTAGAGCTTAATAATTATTTCACTATTAATGTACTTCTTCTTAATTGTATTTCACTATTAATATACTTCTTCTTAATTGTATTTCAGTTCAACAATTACTTTGATAAAATACATATTTTGTTATGTGCAAATATGCTATAAATTACCATGTAGCATATATTCAACACAAAAAACAGCGACAATTTGTTGTTGACAAAGGACAGATGGATGTATAAAGGGCCCCATTACCTTCAGTAGCTTAGGGCCTCATCAAACCTCAATCCAGCCCTGCACATGAAGTCAAACCCTGGGAGATCTTGCAGTTCTAATGTTGATTTCATAATTCTTGCTACCTTGAAGAAGGCTCCAAAAGTGAATCATAGAAACATAAGAAGCTGAGTCAGACCATTCTAGCCCAGTATTGGCTACGCTTACTGGAAGAAGCTCTCTAGGGTTTAGACAGAGGATGTTCCGAGGAGATGTGCTGGTGATTGAAGCTGGGACCTCCTGCATGCAGAGCAAGTGCTGCTCCATGGAGTTAGTTTAAAATTAGGCTTTGGTGGAGCTTCATTGATGCTAGTATTGACCACAGGTGAAGAGACCACGCATGGATTTATCTTATCAGTTTCGTAGCACATAATGCTGACAATGACAAGAAGTACAGTTGAGAAGAACTTTAGTGAATCCAGTAGGAGAAGGGGATGAATTTTCCCATTTTCCCTGCTTTCCCTTCTTTTCTAATGATAAGATTAAAAAAAATTAATATTTTGACACACAGTAGGCGCTTCAATTAAACACTGGCAGAATCAATTGCTATTCTTTTCTTCGGTAATGAAAATGGGATTTTTATTTGAAATTCTTGGTACAAATGCGAGAGGCAGCATCTTCAGCTCCTTCATTAACTGTTTTATTTGAGAAAACAATTAATAAAATCAAAGTCAATCTTTTCCCCTCACTATTCCACCGAGGTTAAAATAGATTAGTATTCATATAGTTTTCGTTGTATATTGGAAAGCTGAACAACACATTTTATTTCTAACAGCAGGGGAAAAATGAAGAAAACCAAACTTAATTACACTGGTGATGTTAGGCCTTGGAATGGTTAAGGAAGCACAAGAACTCCTGTTGCAAATTTCTGGGTTCAGGACATTTATAAGTTGTTAGTGAAAATCTCAGAGGGCTGAAACTTACTGTAAAACAGCATGGAACCCAAATTGTTTTATTTTCTGAACTTGAAAACTTGAAAAGAAGGCAGTACAAGCAACAAATAGATTAATACTTTTTTTTTTAACCATGCGTTCATTAGATCAGATTCATTTTTTATTCATGTTATTACATTAGTATAATAATACAGTTTTAATTTTATGGAGCTGTAGGCATTTAGGTAATATCAGCTCTAGTACTGTGTGTGGGCTTGATGATTTAGCTTAAATCATTCTAACTGTATGGAAGCTATTGGGATTCTGCTGAGTCGTATCAGCTAAAAATCTGACCTCCACACTATTTTAGAATATCTTTCCTATGAAGCATCCTCTTTCCTTCCTTTTCTCATTAAACATTTATTTAGAAGCAGCAGTGTGCTAGGCACTGTATTGGGCACAGAATTAGCATGGCTCGACCCAGAAGGCTAAGGAATGAAATCAGATAATTTTATGTAATGAATGAGATTTCCAAGAAAGAAGGTGCAGGACACAAGCAACATGGACAGGGCAAAAGTGAAGAGAGGAAGGGAAAGATTTGGTGCAAGAATATAAACACTTTGAGTACTGTTCAGTAGGAAGAGAAATTGTTTGGACAGATGGATAGAGGAGGCATTCCAGATACTGTACAGGACATAGTGTGAAATAAGGCACAAAGTTTTAAGTGTGGGATGAAGAGGCAGAAGGTTGGGAATTACATCAACCAGCCGTTTGTCCTAATGGACTTTATCCAGAGTTGTCCTTAAAATGTTAATTTTGGGAGTTTTTACTCCCAAGCAACTGTTTTGCTGCTTAATTTTATTTCCCCCCCCCAACAGGTTGCTGTTCTAAGCTAACTGACCCCTCACTAACTTATTTAAATAAAACCAATATATATTCAAGCATTCATGTGGGCATAAACAATACTAAAAGTTTTAAATATGTTTGGGGGGAAAATGAAAGCTAAACCAAGCAAAAACCGTGAAGGAGTGCCAGGGAGAGATAATTCGCATTGACTTCATAGGAACAAGTGTCTCCTAGCTTCAAATTTGCATGTGCTTTGTAGCAATCCACTTCTGTACACATGTGAATATCTATCCCTGCACTGCATCAAGCTGTGATATGATGGGATGAGCTGACACAACTCATTCTGTTTCTTTATTTTTGCTCCATGTGGTTGCTGTGCCCTGCATTCCACTTTCCCTGCATTATTTAGGGTAGCAAACCAGTTCTTAGAACCACTGAAACATAACTATTTGAGGATATGAATATGCAGGCTGTGTTTGAAGACTAGGCTGAGTTGTATCCAATGATGTTGCTCAGCTGATGATGAGGCTTCCATCAGTGGAAGGAGAGAAGGTTTGGATTATTGCTTTTATTTTTATATTCTATATTGTGATTTTTTTTGGTGTAAACCGCCCTGAGACCTCCGGGTATAGGGCGTTATATAAATTCAATAAATGAAATGAAAGATATACCTTTAGGCGCCAGGCGAAAATGTTCCTTTTTAACAAGGCTGACCTGATCAAAATCATATACCCTTTAAAATGTGGCTCTTTTGGGGGGGGCGTGTCATTGGATTATTGTTTTTATTTTGATTTTATATATTGTGATTTATTTATTTTTCTAAACTGCCCTGAGACCTCTGGGTATAGGGAGGTATATAAATTCAGTGAAAATGAAATGAAATGAGGAGGAGGCAGTTTTAAACAATTTCTCATCCTCTTGCATTCTGCTAAATCTGCTCTGCTCTGGATCAGGTTAGGCAGGGGTGGAGGGACTTACGGAATCCCCATATTTGAGGCATCCTTTGCCTGAATATATCTTAAAGCACTGGTAGCCAACACAAGGCTCTCTAGATACTACAACTCCCATCATCTCTGATCACTGGCCATGCTGGCTGGGACCGATGGAAATTGGAATCAAGCAGCGTATTGGCGAGTATGTCACTGGCTCCCATGCCTTTAAACAATGCTTCACGAACATGAAATTTATTACGGTCAGAGACCAGCTTGTGAAACACAAATGGAACTACAATCCCAATAGCAAAACAAGCATTTAAAACAATATACAACAATGGATGTTAAGTTTAAAAATGCGATAGGCATATAAACTTTAAGATAGACTACCTTAGAGAAATGACACAGAGTCGCCCATGGATCCGAGTTTGGGAATTTTCTTAACAAACTAGATTGAATTAGGGGATGGTCTCCACCTACAGATCTGTGTGCAGAATCTGGCGACAATCTGGGTCGTCTTGTAAACAATGCTTCACTTACATGTTGTGGTGATCTTTTAAAAGTCTTTTGAAAGCATCCTCTCAATTAGTAGCCAAGTCCATATAGCATGGAAATGACAGGGGCTGGAACTCAGGCATTTTTGCACATGAAGCAAAAAAAGCCAAAATGCGTCTGCTCACAATTTGAACTCATCTGAGCCGAGGCAACGGAGGGCAGTAAATTGCTACCTGTGATGGCCACTTAGCAGATAAGCCTGGAATTGTTTAAAAAACTTTATAGGACTAGCTCTCCCTTCCAACTCTGATTCTGTGATTCAGATACAACTGGCAATTATATTAGGTTCTCATGGTCAAACTTTAATTGGCAGTGATGTTGCTGCAAATGTTCTGTTTAGTCTGATTTTTTTGTTTGTGTACATTGTCTATATTTATATATAAACTGTTCCGATTCCTAGAGTTGGGAAGGGATGGAAGCCAAAGCAAACAGACAATTATGCAAGTGCTGTTTTCTTAAAATCTAATTACCGGACTTCAGTTCCTAGAGTAACATAGTGTACGGTCATTTACCAAGTCAGAACTTACCACAGTGTACTTGTGGTGCCTGCAGCAACCCTGCCAAGTGGCGAGAAGAGTTTGCAAATTGTTCACACCCTGTCCCAAAGTCTAGTGAATCAGAAGCCTGGTGAAATTCTCCTTACTATTTGGCAGGGCAACCCAGGCTCAAATGATTGTATACACACTTGGTTGTAAAAGTTGCCATTTCTAAATTTCTGTTTCTTTTCACCCTATTCAGAGCCCCATATTTGCTCCGCTGTGCTCATGCAGAGCTCCTGGTTCTGCCCAGATTTCACATTGGAGAGCCTGTTCCCCTAACAAACTGTTAGATGGGCATGATGACATCTTTCATCTATAAAGGGGAAACAAGGTAATATTTTTCTAGCATATTTCATTTTCTGATGTAAAAGCCAGTACTCGGAAACACATCATTGAAAGCAATCTATTAACAATTTTCATTTGCCTTTCCCCCCTTTTTTGAAAGCATTATACGTCTTGTTTTTGTTTTTGACTATTTCTGGTCGTTTTCATGATGAGAACTATGCTGGAACACACTCTATATTTGATGCTGATGCCCTTGAACGGATTCATTTAAACTGATAGGAATCCATAAGCATAAAAACCAATATTATTTCATGTGTAATATTGTCATTGTGGCAGGCACAGTGCATCATTTCTGCTGGAATTGTTTCTCCTAATGCATAAGTTACCAGAGTGCATTATAGATGAATGTTTGCTTCTTTGCAACTTTAACCCTCTGTTCATTCAAGTCTTCATTTAAAGCTAAACAAACAGGCTGGTAGATTCTATCGGTGTTACGGATCTTCCTTGAAGACTTTGTTTCATACATTTGATGCTTGTTGCTAAAATGCTTGAAAGCAGTATTCTCATTAATTAGCAGCCTTACAGGAATAACAATTAACATCTTCTCAAGCAACTGTAAATTAGCATAGTTCGCACATGATTAATGTAGTTTTTTTGGGGGGAAAGGTATAGTCAGGACTGTGTGTACAATATAAGGAATAAAAAGAGACAAACTTTTCTATCCCCACCATTCAAATGATTTGATGTGTTTTCCTTTGCACATCACGTTGAATGTGTTACAAGCACAATAACGAAAAAGGGTCACAAGGCCAGAAATAAATTCTGCCTCTAAAACTCCTAGCGCTAATTAATCACTTCTGATTTCTAATGAAAACAAATATCATTAGGCAGGTATTGAATTAAATAGATAGCGACAGACTTTTCACACTGGATAACACCAAAGCCATTTTTTAAAATTTTTATTTCAGAAAAGGAGCTCTATCTGAATGTTGAAGATCAAGCTTTTCCTAAATTATAATAATATTTTTTTCCAGCTGCATGATCTGCTGGTTTTTATAGCCTATAATTATGAACTTTGTATTTCACAGGTGTCCTACTGTCAGGGTGGGGGTGGGGGAGGTGGAAATCTCCATCTTTTGAAATTATGGGATGCTGCCTCGCAATGGCAGAATCTAATCTGCTCCCAATTTGTGTCAGCATTTTGCATGGGGGGGGGGACTCAAATCCTCTATAAAACTAGGAATCAGTGGAAGGTATCCCCCCTCCCTTCTTTGTTTTCTCTGGGCTTCATAAGCCCAATGCAATTAGGCAGCAAGTGACTGTATGCCATATGCATTTATTGCTCTTCTTAGCATGTGTTACTTTGATGTGTTAGGCTGGAAAGCAAACTCTTTTTCTTGGGCAGCCTTCCTCCTGGGTCTTTATACTGCTTAGCAGTTGAGTGTAGACTTTGAAACACAGCCTAATTTAGAGGCAGATGCTGCAGCTGCTGCTGTCATTTCAGCCGTCTCCCCCCTTCCCCGATTTTGCTTTGATGTCAGCTTAGAGCCGTTGTTGTTGCATTCGGTACACTGGCTTCTCCTTCCTCAATTCACAAAACAGAACCTGCATAATTTTAACCATTTGTGTGTGCGCACGTGTGCTTTTGCTCCTAAATCTTTTCCTAGCAGCCCCGCTCGCTGAGGACGCCTCGCATAGCAGTCACATGTGTTGTGCCAGCCTCTTTCATAATCACACGGGAGAAGAAAGCTGTACGGGAAAGGAAAACAAACAAAAAGTCCCTTTGAATTTGACCCTTTGATGTTCAGCGAATGACTATGGACATCAGGAAAAGAAGGCATGTGTTGGCCGATACCAAAGCCATTCAGTTGTTTCCAAAACCTGCATAAGATCTGAGCATGATCGACAGAGCCAGTTCAGATGTGATAAACCAATTGTCAGAGAAACATGCAGAGCTGGTACTGGGCTTGCAATTTGGTCAGGCTACAGGCCCAGAGATGTCACCATAGGAGAGGCCCTGCTTGTGGTGTCTTTGGTGAATGTGCCCTGGAGTTCAGGGCCGGCCCACCCATGAAGCAAGGTGAGGCAACTGCCTCAGGTGGCAAGATCCACAGGAGCAGCAGATCCATCCTCCAAGGAATGCACACCTTCCACTGAAGCTGTGGTGACTTCCTTGAGGGCTGGATCGATCTCCTCCTTGGCAGTCCTACCCCAATGCCACCTCTACAGTGGCCCCTTGGTAAATAGGAGGCGCTGCTGGTTTCCACTACCACCCTTGTTTTGATGAAGATCTTTACCCCCCCCCCCCCGTTCCTGATATAGATCTTTACGCACCACTTCTTCCCCACTTGAGCTTGGGGAGGCTACACCATTTTGTAGTTCACCTCAGGTGCCAAAATGGCTTGAGCCAGCCTTGCATGGAGTGTCACCACACAAGACGGGGCCTTTTCAGTGGTGGCACCCCAGCTATGGAACTCCCTTTTTACCGAGGTCAGATTATTCCCCCACATTATATGCATCCAGATGGCAACTCAAAACCTATTTGTTGTAGCAGACCTTTGGAGCATATTCTGAATGACATAATTTGCATTTGTATTTATGCTTATATTTGTGTTTTTAGAATTAAATGGTGATTCGTTTACCATACTTTGTACTATGCTTTTACTCTGCTTTTAATGGTGTAACTTTATTGCTAGCTGCCCTGAGTTCTTGCGAGAGGAAGGACAGAATATAATAAATAAAATGTCAAAAAAACTTGATTATTATTAATAAAGAATACATTTAATGATATCATCATCATTATTTGATGATGGACTGGTGTCTCAGACAGAAAGCCCATATATGTACAACTGAGGCCCTGCTTAAATACCTACCTGTGAAGGCCATCACACTTGGAAAATGGCCTTATAAGTAGTGGCTCCACACCTGTGGTATCCAGTCCCATTTGAGATTAGGGAAGCCTTATCCTTTGACAGTTTCAAATGCGGCAATGAAGAACTCATCTCTTTTCTGTTTCCTTTAGTGGCTGATGTAAATCAAACTGCAGATATAATTATTATGGTTTGGTTAATATATATAATATATTTGCTGGTATTTTCTGTTTTGTGCTGGCTCTTTTTATGAAGCAGATATCCAAAGTGCTTTTAAGTTCTGTTTTATTGGTTGTATTTTCATGTGTATTTTGTAAGCTGCTTTGTGAAGAATTTTTCCAGAGAATGGAGTTGTATATCTATTAAACAGACTTCCTTAGCTTTTCACATGATGACTCAGAAAGCAATGAAAGATCTCATCTGTACATTGGCTATGGCTGGATCTAGACACGTCAAAGAAGTGATTCAGTTAAATGCATTGTAAACTCATACAGGGAAATCCAGTAGGGATAGACGGGACTTCACAGCGCCATCAGGTGTCATAGTGTTATATCGCATATACAACACATATAAAACACTTTTTGTTTCCCATCCTTTATCAACCAACCCCAGACCTATCCATACCTTATTGTCTATGTTAAGTGCTACCAAACACAGGTGATAACTAATAATCAAGTCTGCACTGTGTTGGATATGGTGCTGAAGAAATGATTTTGCATGTAGCTATCATGGCACAGAGTGCCTATCGCCAGCTTTGGCCGATGCATCAACTATACGCCTTCCTGATCAGAGATAATACGGTTGCTATGATACATGCTTTGGTAACCTCATATTTAGGCTATTGCAATGCACTTTGCGTGGGACTGCCCTTACACCTGGTCCAGAATGCTGGAGCCTGGGTTGTGCGGTGTGCCCCTTATTGTCTCACACTAGTGATAAGGGATCTGCACTGGCTGTCTTTCAACAACTAAAGCAGATTTAAGGTCCTGCTACCTGCATATAAAGCCCTAAACAACTCTGGGCCAGGTTACCTATATACCACCTTCTCCTCCACAGCCCAGTAAGGCTGTTAAGAACAACACATGGAACCTCAGACTTCCGGGTTGGCGCCATCGCCGAATGGCGGACTCCCTCCGAGCTCCGGAGGGAGCCTGCTCGGCAGGGGCTGGGTCCTACCGCACCGGCGATGCGGGGACCCTTAAAAACCATGGCCATGGAGGCCGTGGACATGGAGACTCGGCTGGCACCGCTAGCGCCCTCCCGACTCGTGAAGGAGCCTTTTTAAAGGCTACGGATCGGGTGCCGGGGAGAAGCGTGGTGCTTTGAGTCCTCTGCTATCCCTGCCGAGCGAAGCCGCATGCCATCCGGCGGAGAGCGCTGACTTCTTCCATTGAGAATTTGGACTTCTTAACAACAACCCGTGAGTAATTTGGAAACCGGGTTCAAAAGGAGAAAAAAAGAAATTTTTTTCGGATTGGACACGAGCGGGGGGGGGGGGATCCAAAAAGGAAGTCAGTCCCCCTCCCTACTGTAAACCTTCCAAAACAAGGATTGGGAAACCAAGGTCCAAAAAGATTTGTATTGCTGATAAAAACTAAGAATTCCACGATGGGAAACTACAAGAACTGTGCTGGAGGAAGAATTGAGGGAGAAGGAAAACGTAACCCCCCCCCCCTGGGAACCGGGGTTGATTGAAGAGAGAGCCTGGTGAAAAGAGTCGGAGATTTTGATAGCTGTCAAAGTAGTTGTCAAAGTCGGAAATTCAGAGAGGATTTTATTATGAGAACTTTGCTGGTTAAATTTGTTACAATTTGCTACAACCCGTTAAAACTTGGATACAAAATGGCGAAAACATGGATAACAATCGGACTTTTGGACTAGAGAAAACAAAGTAACAACAATCCCCCTAGAGGAGTTTCGGGACATTACAAAGATGGTCGTAAGTGGAAAAATACCATTGGAATTTTACAGGACTGGTTATCTTCTGGGAAAGCTGCAAAACGGGAATAATATTTTGTCTACAGGGTGTTCAGCTAAAGAAGACAATAGAATTTTCTATTGAAGAAAGGAAGGGACTGAACGCAAGTTTTTGTTCCTGAATAACAATAATCCCTGCAGAGTTACTAAATTTCTGAATTAGAACGTTTTAGCAGCGGAACAAGAGGAAACTGGACTACAACTTGGAAAGAACAATGGGGGGAGTTTTATTAAAGATTCGAAGTTAAATGTCTTAAGAATAATTTTAAAAATAACTATAAAAGAAAAAGCCAGCAAGGAGTTGGGGGAAATATATGATTTATGGACTTTAAGAATTCCAGGCAGATAACATGGTTTGGTGGTCAGGGGGAAATTAAACCGGGGACGGGGGGGGGGGGGGAGAACTAAAATCCAAAGGCTTGTCAACTTTTTTCTGAATTGGTTCTTTTTCATCTATTATACTTTTTATTTCTTATTTCTTATATTTCTATTGTGTGGGGTGTCCTTATCATTAAAAAAAGGGAAATTGTGGAATGAAAATGGGGTGGGCCCTGGGGAGAGAACTTTTGTCTTTTATTAAGGGTATTGATGAGGAGTGTATAAATTTTAAATTCGAATAATGGTGTAAACAAATTAAGTTTTAATTAGAACTGAGAGCTTGTGGAGCCAACAATATGAAAGGGGAATATGGTAGGGGTGGGGGAAGGGGGGAGTCCCGGAAAGTGGATGTATGAAAATAAGGCTTTGAATGTACTTTAATCTTTACTTTCTGTATTTCTGAAAATCTTAATAAATATCATTTAAAAAAAAAAAAAGAACAACACATGGAACCTGGTTAACTCTGCCATGGTAACATGGAGGCGGGCATTTTCTCAGGTGAAACCAGTGTTGCAGAATGCCCCACCCCGAAATACAAGAAGCCGCATCAGTACTGGCATTCTTCCAGCTCTTAAAGGCACACCTGTTTAGTCAAGCATTCCCTTGATTCCCTAATGTGAACCTCTTCATTATATTGTTTTAATGGGCTTGTTTATTGTACCTTTCAGTTCCGGATGTTTATTTTTATGATGAAATTGTTTTATTGTGTTTTTTAATTATGTGCGGCTACATTTTTTAAAATAATAATCAATTTTATGCTTGTAAACCACTTAGAAGCCACTTGGGAAAAAATGAATTAATAATAACAATAACAACAATAACAACAGTAACAACAGTTCACCACCAACATTGCAACTTTGCAGGGCCTTCCAACCACTTTTCCATGTGGTTTATGGCCTTGGTGGGAGATGTAAATAATCCACCGCAGTATATCACAAGATGTTTGCTAGGCATTTTGAGGATAAGATTGCTTGCAGCTGCCATGGCTTGGAAAAAAATTGTTGACATGGATCAGTCACTTGGGGCATCTTCTGATCCTATTTTGTGAATGATTTTTAATCGTTAAACCCTTAAGGTCTGTGAGACAAAATCCTGGGCAAGGTCCAGCCAACCACCTGTTTGCTTGCTTCTTGCCTCTCTTCGCTTATTACATTTAGCAGGGAGGAAGCAGCTACCTGGACCAGGAGGAGTTAAATATGGTACTGAGAGAGCTTGTGGTCTTAACTCCCTTAAAGGAAGCCATGATAGAAACTGCACCTGAAGAAACCTGATTTCGACTCAATGATATGAACAATTATTGGCCAGTGGCAAATTGTAGAGGTCCTCGAGTAAGTGGTTATCAGCCAGCTCTAGATACTCTTGGATGAGACAAATTTTCTTGATCTATTTCATGTGGGTTTCAGGCTTGTTTTTTGGGGTAGAAATTGCCTTCCCATCACTTTGTGGGATTATAATCAATCAATCAATCAATCAATTAATTAATTGATATACAGATTACTTGCCAAAGTGACTTCTAAGCGGAATGGATGTGGAAAAATTGTCTGAGTTGGAGACTGGAGGCTGGGCTTGGGCTTGGGGTGAAGTCGAAGGAAAGGGAGGATAGGTCCTTACATGTTATTGTGTGCAGCCAGAGTTTTTAATAGCTACCCTGTTGGTAGTGAAAAATTCACAATTTTTTAAATCTGCCATATTTTCAATTTACAGTTCAAGTCTTTGCCATTCATTATACAGCATTTCACATCCTTTCTCTCTATCAGTATCTAAGTGATACACAGCATATCCTCATAGATGAATCATTATAATGTCAGATGTTAAAAGTCATGCATTTCAGTGCCCAAAGAACCCTAGTAAAAAAAAAATTGTGCTTGTGTTTTAGTCACGTAATGAGAAGCTGAATTTGAAATGAGGAATTGAGGTGTGTGCTTTTCCTTCAGATTTTTTTTCAGTGTTTTGTTTTGTTTTTGCTAATAGCAAGTAACAAACTGAACAGAATGTTCAGGTGTACAGTGGTACCTTGGGATGCGAATGGGATCCGTTCTGGAGCCCCGTTCACATCCCAAAGCGAACGTAACCCGTGTCCACGTGTCTGTGCCTGCGCGTGATGTCATTTTGACGCGCTCCGTTACTTCTGGGTCACCACGGAGTGCAACCCGAATTTGCCTAACCCGAAGCATATTCATCCCGAGGTATGACTGTATTATAATTTTTTTTTGTATTCCAGCAAGATACCCCCACCCCCCACTCCAGTGCATTGTGGCCCAGCTGAAGAGACTTGCTTACAGGAGAGGATCCAAGAACAGTTCATCACACTATCAGTGGCACCCATCAAAAAAGAGGTACACACATAAGAGGTGCGCTTGCATTTACTGATTTAGGACCTGTCCTTGCTATGGAGCTCAGTGTGCCACACTCTGGCTCTTCCACCTTTCAATAACCCTGTGGGATAATTTAGGCTGGAAGAGAATAACTGAGCTAAGATCATCCAATAAGTTTCATGAGAATTTAGACCGGTGTCTCCCCTGCCATAGACCAATGTTACAATGCTCTAATACAGGGGTCAGCAACCTTTTTCAGCTGTGGGCCAGTCCACCATCCCTCAGACCATGTGGTGGGCTGGACTATATTTTGAAAAATAATAATGAACGAATTCCTGTGCCCCACAAATAACCCAGAGATGCATTTTAAATAAAAGGACACATTCTACTCATGTAAAAACATGTTGATTCCCAGACCGTCTGCGGGCTGGATTTAGAAGGCAATTGAGCTGCATTCGGCCCCCGGGCCTTAGGTTGCCTACCCCTGCTCTAATATGATGATGGTCATGAAATGTCATGTCATTTGTGGGGAGTGGAATGATGGATAATAGTGGATAGTCTTTTGGAAGAGCAGGTCTTTGGAGCGATGGCTCACTTGCTGCAGAACTTCTTGTTCAGAGTGTTATCTGAGGTCTGTGGAATTTAGCAGTCATGAGCTGGATCAGGATTATACCCTGGAACGTCACAGTTTATTTATTCCATGTTTTTAGTTGTCACATTCAATTCTGTAGTAGTTGGGGGAAAGAGTTAGGCATGGTGGTATCTTCAGCAGAACTTGATTAAACGTAATTCAGAAAAAAAGAGTGGATTAGCTGAATGTTAATCACGGTGCTTAAAAAGAGAGAGAGAGAGAGAAATCACCAAGGAAAATATGATTATTGTTCTCCTGGATGTTTATAGCACCATTTCTGTGCCTCACCCACAGATTTGTTGCCTGACTTTTATTAGAAAAGGTCAAATTTTGAGTAATTGTTTGATGGTATAATTAAGCCTAATTAACAAGTAATTCCAGGAAGACTGAACTATTATAGCAGTGATTTTGTAGTGATAGACTAACAGAGAAAGTTAGTTCATTTTTAACTCCTTAATAGCTTTCCCTCTACTTATTAAAGAAGAAGAGAAGGGACTACACACTCCGTTTGCCCCTGTCTGTAATAGCTTGAGTGTCGCCTCACTTGGAGAGTCATACAGATGGATCACGCAGTTCTTATTTTTATCTGTAAGTTGCCTTGAGTTCCATCAGGCAAAAAGGTGGGGTGAAAAGAAATATATTAACTTGGTCATTACCATTATCTCTTGGAGATATTGAAGTGTCTGGATGAAAAGGCTTAGTTGCATCGGTACTTAAGAGGGGGCACCACTAAAATGGAGAAACTGTAATCACTTTAGATATTAAGGACTTTCACCATGACCTCTAAAGTGTGTGATGCGGGGAATCCATATGGGGAACAAAAGGCTCATTCCACATTCTATTATTGGAAATAAATTTACATCATGCATGGAAAAACCAACCAACCAACCAACCAGAATGGCTGGCAAGAAATGGTTGGCAGAAAATCTTTAGTAAACAACTGCAACCCACACAGAGCCAGTGCATATTAAATGTGTGTATGGAACGTTTGCCTGCTGTTGCATTCAAGGCATAGTTTAACTCTATAAAAAAATAAGTAATAATACACCCATAAAACCATATAACACACCCACCCACCCCGGGAAATAGGCAATTCATAATTGTGTTTCACGTGGGTCTGTGTGGACACCCTTTCTTTCTATATAAACAACCTGCTGCTGTTTTTGAGATCTGGAGGGGAAACACTCTGTGCAGCACATGTCGTTGGGGTGTTTTGGGTTCTTTGGAATATGCACACATGGCCAGCACATGGTGCCTTCATCCTGGCCCTCTAACAGCAGTGCTGATGTCTCATTCTTTTCATTTTATTTCCCCCTGTTGACGTTACTAGTCCCTACTCCCCTATCACCGCCACCACCCCAATCAAATTTGTTGGAATTGATGGTCAAATAAGAACTTTTCTAAAAGTATTGCAATAACTTGACTGGACTTTAGTAGAAAAATGCAAGCTAAATCAACAGCACATCCCACCAGTACAGACCTGCCATTTGCAGGAATCTGAATCAAAGACATGGAACACCGACCTTTATTGGTTGGAGGTGTTGCTTGCATAAGTATTACATTTCTAATGCACACACTTCCCCAACACTCCCATTTTTGAATGCATTATTTGATTGGAGAGTGCATTGAAAAATTCAGAGGCATGCAAGTTTTGAACAACAACTTTGTTTCAGTTTGTGTATTGCTTCAGAAAGTGTAAACTGTGTAGATTCACATTAAAATGTGGACCAAACTGATCTTCTCGCCCATGCCTACGTGTGATGGGGAGGGGGAAGAATGGGGCTCTTCTTAATCCTTTCTCCTCAATATGATTTTATCCCCACTGGTCAGGTACATTCCGAAAGATGAGTCTTAGTCCATAAGGGTCTTTAAAGCAGTTTGAATTGTGCTTGGAAGTAAACCAGCAGCTAGTAGTGTAGACTGGCATGATGTGTTGCTCTCATGTGGTTCCAGTTAAAAGTACAGTGATTGCCTTGTATGTTAGATTACCTGAAATTTCTAAGAAGTTTTCAAAGGCATCATCACATATAACACGTGGAATTAACCTCATCTGCAGACTATCAGAACATGAATAACCAAGGCTTTGCCATTGTTGTCTACCCTTGCTGGCAGAGTAAAAGGAAGGACAGGCATCATTCATCATACATCATTTTCAGTTTTGCTTTTGTTTTAAATGTATAAGTATGTTCTCTCTCTCTCTCTCTCTCTCTCTCTCTCTCTCTCTCTCTCTCTCTCTCTCTCTCTCTATCTATCTATCTATCTATCTATCTATCTATCATCTATCTATCTATCATCTATCTATCTATCTATCTATCTATCTATCTATCTATCTATCTATCTATCTATCATCTATCTATCTATCATCTATCTATCTATCTATCTATCTATCTATCTATCTATCTATCTATCTATCATCTCTCTATCATCTATCTATCATCTCTCTATCATCTCTCTATCTATCATCTATCATCTCTCTATCCTTCTATCTCCCCCTATTTGGAACAATGGGAGGGAAAGTACAGTCAGGCGTACCTTGGTTTTTGAACAGCTTAGTTCTCAAATGTTTTGGCTTCCGAATGCCACAAATGCGGAAGTGACTGTTCTGGTTTGTGAACTGTTTTTGGAAGCCGACTGTCTGACGGGGCTTCTGTGGCTTTTGATTGGCTTCCTGCAGCCAACCAGAAGCTGTGCTTTGGTTTCCGAATGTTTTGGAAGTCGAACGGATTTCCGGAACGGATTCCATTTGACTTCCAAGGTACGACTGTAATGACATTGATATTTGCCAATTCATTTGATGAAATCCAGCCTCCAGTTTGGGGGCAGGTCTGGGGACAATTCAGATCTACATCTTCCCTTCGTAGTCTCCCCTTTTGGCCCTAATGATGCCATAGTTTCAACATCAGTAGGGCCAGGGCCAAGGAACATTTTAGGGAAAAGGGATTAGATTTCCCTCTCCGAGGCTGGAGTTCTTTCCAGTAAAACTGCAGGTCCCAATACTAAAAAGCAATGGCTGATTGAATATGGAACAATAATTTCTAATTAGTGGTATTTGTGATAATCCGGACCAACATCCCACTTCGGAGTTTCCATCTCATTTACAACGAAGAAAGCTGTTTTCATTGATAAAATGTTTCCTGCTGCAATCATATACCTCTTAGCTGATGTTCTGTAAAACACATTTTGTATTTTTATGGCTAATGCTGAGTTACTGGTTTTTTGGGGGGGAAGGGGAATAAAAATATTTTTCACAAAATGACATATTCTGGGTGATTTGCAGAAATGGAACCGTTCAGTAATTTTGATAAGGCATCTAAACATATAATCCCATCTAAAGAGCATGTCCCTGATTATTCACAGGCTTATATAATATGTCGGCAGTTTAACTTTGGATCATACCATCACTCTAACCCAAGTGGATTTAGAGTTAATGGGTTTGCAGTAAAGCATACTGCTGTAATCTGACGGTGCAGCAGCTGCATAATGCAGCAACGTAATTTATTAATGTAATATGTTCACCCCCGTACTAATGAAAGGGCTGTTGGTGGTTCCTTTCATTCTTCACAGGAACACCTCATTAATAACAGGGAAGCCAGTATTTCAGTGCCTTTAACTTCTAGCGGTTTTCAGTCCCAGGTTCTGGGAATTTGCAGAATAGGACTTTAAAAAACAACAGGGTAACACCGGTTTGTGCTTACAGATTACTTGAGTTTAGCTACAGTATTTGAGTTCTAGTTTTCAGTACCTAGGCACACGACAAATGGAATTTTGATTTATGTTCCTCCTTACATGCTCCCACAATCCTGATCTCCAGATTACACAATTGCAGGAGAGATTGGATTATTATTCTTAAAATAATAATCATAATCTAGAGAGTGGCAGTAAGCAAGATGCACCCCTTCTACATGGAAGAATACACATGTGAGCATATCTATCATCTACCTATCATCTGTCTTTATATCTATCTTATCTATCTCTATCCCTCATCAATTTGTTCACTTAATATTTAAGGCTGCAATCCTAGTTGTACCTACCTGGGAGTAAGCCCACACACCCTTAAATTAATTTGTATGGGATTTCACACTGCACAGTTGTAGTCTCAATAGAGCATCAGCCCTACTTAGCTTATTGGGACTTACATCTGACTAAATAGTTTTTCTTTAGAACAGGGGTGACAAATCTCTTCTGTCCAGGGGCAGTAGGCACTATAAATGCAGCACTGCATTCAGAGTGGAGAATGGGTTTAACACTCCTCTCATTGCAGTCCCAATAAAAATCCCTCACCAAGGCTAACATCAAGAGAAAAGCTCCCATTTTGAGACGGAGAGAAGTTTCCATTTTTTAAGCTTCTGGAGACAAGTTTCCATTTGGTGATGATTTAGTACAGGCATAG